GTTGGACCTCCGGTCGTAGGACCTCCGGTCGTTGGACCTCCGGTCGTTGGACCTCCGGTCGTTGGGCCTCCGGTCGTTGGGCCTCCGGTCGTTGGACCTCCGGTCTTAGGGCCTCCGGTCGTTGGGCCTCCGGTCGTTGGACCTCCAGTCGTAGGACCTCCGGTCGTTGGGCCTCCGGTCGTTGGGCCTCCGGTCGTTGGGCCTCCGGTCGTTGGACCTCCGGTTGTTGGACCTGCAGCCCCGGCAGCAGTGAAGTTTGGACCAGCTTTGTTTTTGCCTTTGATCCTGTGAAGTTTTGTGTGTGAGGAGAGCGTTTGTGTAAAAATATATTCAAGAATATTTAAAGTTCTGTTTTATACCGGAGCTTTGCACTAACTTTGATCTCATGCTATGAAAAAAAAAAAGATGTGTAAGATTCAAACAGCTTCATCATGTTTGGTTCGTGTGACGATCTGATGTTTGTTTGACCACTCTCTGGAACGTTGACTCATTCTGCTGATGATCCAGACCTTCTGGAGCCTCACGAGCACGAGACAGATGTCCTGCCTCCTCCTGGGGTCACAGTCGAATCAAATCCTCCTGGACTCGGACTCATTTCTGCTGAACGTTAATCAGTTTCAAAGAATTTAAACTCGTATTGGAGTAATTTTATAAAGAAATATCTTACCTGTTGCAGAATGACTTCATTTTAGAGAAACAGTTTAATTCTGACCAAGCTGATGAGCGCACGATTCACAGGAGTCCGTTCAAAAGTTTTATGTGACCCCTCTGCTGCCCTAGGGTCAAGCTGACCCCTCTGCTGCCCTAGGGTCAAACTGACTCTGAGGCCTCGGCTTTAACCCCCGAATCCGTGGTCGCACAAGCCTGCCTCCAACGTTTTGACTTTCTGAGCCACAGAAACTAAAACCAGACGAGGTCCAGACACGCTTGCAGGTTTTGAAGACTCTGAATCCCATTTTCACAGTGAGACGAAGTGCTACAGCTGCTGCTGCTGCTGCTGCTGCTGCTGCTGCTGCTGCTGCTCTGCACCGTATGTTCTCTGTCAACACTCGTTTTGTAAAATCAGGTTTTACTTCAACCGTGTCGTTACTGAGAGACTCGAGTCGTTTTACTTGTCTCGGTTCAGACTAGCCGTGAGCTCGTCGGTTCTGTCAGAACTCTGATTCTCCAAACGGAGGTTCAACGACCTATCTGCTGCAGGTAAGATGTTTATTTAACCTTTAAAAAACTGTTTCTGCAGCTGAAACAAACAAGAAACCCAAAGATTCCAGGAATGAACAGAAATCACTTCCAATTGGCTCCAGAACCAGGACCAAGTGGACCAACAGAACCTCGGCTCCCAGAGTCCACCTGAACAGCTTGGTTCAGACCCAGACTGTCCCGCTGGCTCTGAGACGTCATCAGATGCTTCATGTCCTGAAGAAAAACTGATGAAGTTCTGGACGTCACGGTTTTGGACTGGAGGACACGTCGTCTGAGTCCAGAAGATTCTGTCCCGCTCTTCACCGCCGACTCAAAGAGTCACAAGGGGGAGGACAGGATGTCCAACATGTGTCTTTAGGACCAGGACAGGATGTCCAATCTGTGTCTTTAGGACCAGGACAGGATGTCCAACCTGTGTCTTTAGGACGAGGACTAAACGTCTCCAGAGCGACACCTGTGCAATATGTTTTTGTTTTATTGTTGTGAACGTGTTGTTGTCAATCTGTCAAACAGTAATAAAGTTTTTTATTCAAATTGTTTTTGTGTTTTTTAAGACATTTTAAAGTTTGATGTAAATTTTTAAATTTTATAAATGAACTAAAATGGGCGGAGCCTTAAATGTTCTCGTCTTTTTTTTTGCTTCATGTTGAGAGAAAACTGAGTTCAGAAACAGGAAGTCCAGGAGAGTCTGGCTGTGACCTTTGACCTCTGAGAGGACAGAGTTCCTCATTGTCACCTGCAGCTGTTTGTCCTCATCGTGTCCTGCACCTGTTTGTCCTCTTCGTGTCCTGCAGCTGTTTGTCCTCTTCGTGTCCTGCAGCTATTTGTCCTCATCGTGTCCTGCAGCTGTTTGTCCTCTTCGTGTCCTGCAGCTGTTTGTCCTCTTCGTGTCCTGCAGCTGTTTGTCCTCATCATGTCTTGCAGCTGTTTGTCCTCTTTGTGTCCTGCAGCTGTTTGTCCTCTTCGTGTCCTGCAGCTGTTTGTCCTCATCCGCCAGCTGAGCTGTGGTTCTGCAGCGTCCAGGTCCTGACGGCTGTCCTCGTCTCGCTCCGTCCCTGCAGGACACTTCAGACGTCCTAATGGTCTTCAGGGACGACTTCATGCGGCATTTACTGAAGGTGAGTCTTCAGCTGGATGTCCTGGACTGGACTCAGAAGTCTCGCCGTCAGACACCACTGCATTCTGGGATAATTGGTGCTGCCCCCCCTCCACCCCCCTCGTTCTGTCAGGGAGCTGTCAGACCTCCTGCTCTTTATGGGGGAGGACCAACAGCTCCCTGTGACAGGAGGAGGTGATGAATGGAGGCTTCGCCTCCTTCTGACAGGAGCAGCTGAACACACTGGGGGAGGAGCTACTTTCCTCTGAGTTTGTTTTTGAAGTTGATGTAGAAGAACCTGAACCTCCATGATTCTGGACCCTCCCGTGTTTCTCAGCAGCCAGGGGTCATGTCTGTCTCTGTCTGCCTGTTAGTAAAATATCTCCTGAACCAGTGGACAGACGTGTCTCCCTTCAGTTTCAGCTACAGGTGATGAACTCTGGCTCCTGATTGGCTGAGGCCTGACACAGAGGTCACCTGAGGTCAGGACCTAATGAGTCCTGATGGACGGCGACAAATGTCTGATGGGACATGAAATTCCTGCAGAGACAGACTCACGTGGACTCACCTGTCAGGAGGACAGAGACAGGATGGAGGACTCGGGGGACGTCTTTAAAATCAACAACAACAGATACAAACTGTTTGTTTGTTTGTTTGTTTGTTTGTTTTGACGTCTCGTCTGCATCAGCTCAACCTTGAACCAACAACTTCCTGAAAACATTTAATTCATTTTTAAATGTTTTTTTTCATCCAAAGAATATTATGGATCAACGTGAGAGAGAACGTTTGTCTCTGTGTGTCTTGCGATGGACTGGAGATCTGTCCAGGTGTCTTGTGATGGACTGGAGATCTGTCCAGGTGTCTCTGTGATGGACTGGAGACCTGTCCAGGTGTCTTGTGATGGACTGGAGATCTGTCCAGGTGTCTCTGTGATGGACTGGAGATCTGTCCAGATGTCTCTGTGATGGACTGGAGACCTGTCCAGGTGTCCCTGTGATGGACTGGAGACCTGTCCAGGTGTCTTGTGATGGACTGGAGACCTGTCCAGGTGTCCCTGTGATGGACTGGGGACCTGTCCAGGTGTCTCTGTGATGGACTGGAGACCTGTCCAGATGTCCCTGTGATTGACTGGAGACCTGTCCAGATGTCCCTGTTATGGACTGGAAACCTGTCCAGATTTCCCTGTTATGGACTGGAGACCTGTCCAGGTGTCCCTGTGATTGACTGGAGACCTATCCAGGTGTCCCCAGCCTCTCACAGTGATGGACACCAGTGACCTAAAATGGAAGAAGCTGTTAAAGATGGAGGTTTTATTTTGAAAAATGTTCTGACAGGTTTA